ACACACACACACCAGGACAGGATGGCATATGGTGTGGGACACACACACACACCAGGACAGGATGACTCTCAGTGGTTGGTAGCATTAGAAAGTGGCGTAGCCACTCTGGAAATGAGGGTGGAGACTGAAGAATTCTCAGAAAACTAAACAAAGTCTGTCATATGATTCACTATACCACTCCTAGGCGTGTGTCCAAAGCACTCAGCATCCCACTCTACAGGAACCTGCTCAGACAAGGTCGTTGCTCTAGTCACAATAGCTTAAAATGGAAACACCTGAATGTCCTTCAATACACAAAGGGAAAATGAACATGCAGTACATTCACACTGTGGAACATTATGCAGCTGTAAGAAAAACAAAATCACAAACTTTGCAATTAATGGGTAAAACTAGAAAAGATCCTACTGAGGGAGGTAATCCACACCCACAAAGACGTAGCATGTTCTCTCTTATAGGATGCTCCTAGCGCCAACTCTCCATATGTGACTGCTCTGCCTGGAGTTAGTTACTAAGGATTAAAGTAGGACAGTAAGACACCGACTTTACCCCTTGGCTTCGGTCTACTTCCTCCATTTTCTACTTAGCTAATGTTTATGAATAACATTAGCTAATGTTATGAATGTTTGCTTATGAATAAGCAAACAGGACAAAAGAAACCTAAAAGTTGGGCTTTAAATCCTAACTAATCCATATGACTTCACTTACTTGTCCCATTTTAAAACACCAACTTTATTTTTTTAAGATTTATTTATTTATTTTATGTATATAAGTGCCATTTTATTATCATATGATAGATGAAGAAAGTATACTCAGAGAACTTAGGTAGCTTTTTCAGATAATGATTCAATGAGTTGAAGTCTACACCTAGTTTCTCTCTGAAATCAACTATTTTATATTGCCTTGTTTAATTAAAGTGACAAATACCTGTTTAGCATCTACTGTTATGACTCTTTTTATGTGAGATGTATTCCTAAGGATGTACTAAGGTCTACCACCTGATCTCTGTATTTAAACAAATCTGTATCTTGCTTTGGTGTTAGCTTTTGTAAACCAAATAATAAAATACCTACTTGAAGATTATTCTTGGGATGTTCTGCATGTGAGCAGTGAGTATATTAATGTGTGTTAGCAGTATGTTGTGTGTGAGCAGTGAGTATGTCATTGTGTATTAGCAGTATGTTGTGTGTGTGAGCAGTGAGTATGTTATTGTGTGTTAGCAGAATGTTGAGTGTGTGAGCAGTGAGTATGTCATTGTGTGTTAGCAGTATGTTGTGTGTGCGAGCAGTGAGTATGTCATTGTGTGTTAGCAGTATGTTGTGTGTGTGAGCAGTGAGTATGTCATTGTGTGTTAGCAGTATGTTGTGTGTGTGAGCAGTGAGTACGTTATTGTGTGTTAGCAGTATGTTGAGTGTGTGAGCAGTGAGTATGTCATTGTGTGTTAGCAGTATGTTGTGTGTGTGAGCAGTGAGTATGTTATTGTGTGTTAGCTGTATGTTGTGTGTGTGAGCAGTGAGTATGTCACTGTGTGTTAGCAGTATGTTGAGTGTGTGAGTAGTATGTTACTGTGTGTTAGCAGTATGTTGAGTATGCTAAGTTCAGAAAGCCCATCCAATCTAGTAACCAAACTGGCACTCATTTGGCCTTTCCACTGTACCAAATACAATGTGTGCATGGGCTGCTTTGTGTTAACCCACTGAAACGTTTAGGAGATAAAAGGACTCTAGGAAGCCAAGATGGCTGCCCACTTGTAGTTATTGAGGAAGTTTGTCACGTGTTTCATAGTCTTGATTTCACCCTTTTTAAAAATCACATATCTTCTAGAAGATAATGAAGGTTAGCAATTAGAAAGATCTTGTAAGTCTGCATATATATGCACACACACACAAACACACGATAAGAGATGCTTAGTTGAAATCATAGATATAATGAAAATCTACTTTATCTCATCAAATGATTCAAGAGAAAATGGTCATACTTCATAGCATAAACAAATGAAACACATTCTAAACTAGTATTCCACAACAAGTGGGGGACTCTCTTGATCAGGAACTCATGCTCATTGCCTTAAAGGGCTTTCACAGTCAATCTGGCCTAGACGTTTTGAGCACTTGGTGATGGTATTTTGCTACAGCTCTTGCTATTTATCCTTTTACTTTGGGTTGATAAATACTTAATAAATGTATTCATTCAAATCTGAAAGAACAGCTATCATACATCATTCTCTGTACTTAATAAAACATAAACATTAGAGCTAGACCAGGGTTAAAACATAAAAACATGACAATCTGTTTATGAATACAGTCTTTGGAAATGCATTGGTTTAAATCATAGGTATGTGTATGTGAACTAAGACCACATACAAAGTTAATCTTGCCCCAGCTTATCATCTGTAAAAGAAGGATAATACTCTAGTGCCATGAGGATTGAAGACTATATCTCCTATGGGAGATGGTAAGAGATGATAAGCAACCATAACTGTTGATACTGGTACATAAATATATACAAATGTATGATTTAAATGGCTGCCTTTACAGTTAAGTTATCACTTAAGAGTGATGAATTGCTATTAACCTCTACATATCTTGTTTTTGTTGCAACTACTACACCTTTGGGATAAAATGATAAAATTGGCCAATGATTGGTATTTATCTTATTCATGTGACAATTACCTTTATTTATATATTTTTAGCTCCAAGGTTTGCTATGTACACTGATTGACTTCTAATGTGATGTACTATTGTAGCTAAAACTTAAATGAGTGATTTTTTGAACTAAGTTTTTCTTTGAATGACTTATTTTCTTTTATGTGTGTGTGCATGCACAAATATGTGCAGGTACCAGCAGAGGCTAGAAGAAGACCTGGAGGTGAAGATACAGAGCCATTATGAGCCACCTGATGTGGGTGCTGGGTACCAAAGTCCAGAATTCTAAAGGAACAGCAAAAACTATTCCATATCTCAATCTGTTTTGTTGGTCATTGTTTTGTTTTCTTTTCTTTTTGAGACAGGGTCAGATATAGCTCAGACTTGTCTCGTGGGTCTAATAAGTGACCTAAGATGACCTTAAATTCCTAATCTTCCTACTCCCATTTGCCCAATACTGAAATTTCCAGAACATGCCACCAAGCCAGGCATACACAGTAAAACAATCAAATTCCAGAGTCAGGAAACCGGACTCAAATCCTAGACATGACAATTTCATGTGTAAAAGTACACCTCTGAGGTACAATATAAAATGCATGAAGGGACGGGATTTTTCTTTTGTGTACACCAAATAGTGAATACAAGCTGTTAGGAGGACAGTAGATACTCGTGAGCATCCATGAAATACTATATGAATATTAGTCACAAATAAGAACAATGACTAAAAACTAGCTGCGATAGGGAAATAACATGAAACCTTGCTGAAAGAACTTATAACTGTTTACTTTAAGATAAAAGTATAAAAAAAAAAGAACCAATAAGATAACATTGTATCAATGGGAAAATTATAAAAGTTCAGTGATTAATCAAACAGGAGGTTAGAAAGAGCAAGACACTTTCTTAAATACGGTTGCTTTGCTCTTTCTTTTTAATTTTTTTTTTGTTTTTTGTTTTTTTTGGGGTTTTGGTAGCTTTACTATTAAAAGGCAAAAAGGCACTTGCCCGATGCTTTGGCATGCATGTATACATTTTATGTGTGTGTGTGTGTGTGTGTGTATATATATATATATTCGTATGTATACATTTTGTGTATATGTTTTCTTGTATGCATGCATATCACATGCAAACCAGAAGTCATTGGATCCCATTATAGCTGATTGTGAGTTGCCACATTAGTGCTGGGAATTGAACTAGGAACCTCTGGAAGAGTAGCCAATGCTCTTAACCACTGTGCCCTCTCTCCAGCTCCAATATTGCACTTTTTTATGGTAATCTCTCAACCTTTGGGATGGACTGATTTGCAGTGTAAATGGGGGAAAGATGATTAATGAATTACAAGACGTTGAGTGAAGTTACCTGCGTTACTTAAAATGAATAATACTCTAAGATTCATTACATGCCAGCGTTTGGGTCTTTGCATAAATGAGAATCTTTCCTCACACTAGACCTTTGTCAGAAGCAATTTCTCTGGGTAAATCAGAGCTACATTCAAAGTTCTTCCGCACGCTTCATAGTGAGAGAGTCTGGAGTAAAGTCGGAGCATTCCTTCCTGAAAACAAACCTAATTCCGGATCAGTGGTTTCCAAAATGGAACACATCTATCTAAAGCTGATGCATAGAATTGTAAGCATGATAGCATCTCATTAGTTCATAGTAATTAACAAAAATAGAAGCCATTCTTTACTTTAAACCAAAGGAGAAAAGTTCAATTAATTATAAGTCAGGTATGACTTCCATGCTCCATTCCGAAAGTGCGAAAAGATGTATTCTTCAGCTGCCTGCGTGCCCTCCTAGTGCACCCCAAAACTATTTTAACAGTATTCAGTAGAAGGAACATCATGAAGCTTTCAAGAAACCACGGTGACCAAATCCTACAAAAAGGAGACGGTAGGAACGCTGCTGAATCACTGGCACAGAACCCAGGTGTCTTCTGCATTGCCCAGGAACGCTTGGGGAGCCAAGATCCACATCCACGTTGGAAACCAATAATGCCAGTGAAGACAGAAGCAGGGTCCCAGGGCCTTCTCCAGCCTCGGGAAAGGACTTGGGACTACTGATTCAATCCTTGCCTGCTCACTTCTCGGTTCCACCGACCAGCTGCTGCAGGTAGGGGCTGGCCAGGAACACCAGGCCGAACAGACGAGAGGGGAAAGTCACTTACCAGTCTCCACCGAAGGCGCGCATCCCGCCGGAGCCTGGCGCGCTGGCCAGGAGCAAGAGGTCCACAGCTCAGACCGCCCTGGCGACCGCTCGAGAGCGTCACTGACAACCACCCGGAAGTGGTAAACTACTTCCGGGGCTGCCGAGCGCGCGGCGGGAAATTATTTCCTAGAACCCAGATTATTGGAGCAGGGAGTGCTGCCGTCCTAGTCGTCGCCACTCCCGCTGCCACCTCCACCCCCTCCGCCACCGCCGCCGCCGCCCGAAGAAAACCACCCAGAACTCCGGTCGGCCGGGAAGGTAAAGCGCCTCAGCTCGGAAGACGCCATTTACCGCGTCCTCAGGCCGCGCCGGTGACAGTCCCGCCGTCCTCGCTGGGCCGCTGCGGCGCCTGGCGCTCGCGCTTTCCAGAGCCTTGGTTCCTTCACGGTGAAGTCGGGGTGGCCGGGGCCCCAGACCGTGGCCCGCCCTGCCTGGCCTTGTGGCCCGGGGCGCCCCTGCGCCGTGCTCTCGGCCGCTGCCTGTCGTCGGGGCCCGGCGCTAGGCCGCCCGCGTCTCCGGTTTCCATAGAACCGGCTAGGCAGCCTGGTCCCCTCCCAGGTCTTGGCTACTTCCAACCTTAGCCTCAGTGACAGTGGCAGGGATTCCCAGGGCCTGCCCTCTTTTGAGAGGAAAATCGGGACATTCTTTCTCTCTAGTAGCATTGAGTTTTTCACACCGAAAGGAAAATGAGTTTGTATCTCTGCGGCTACTGTAGGCTTTGAATAGAAACACACGAACCTCTCCTAAAGGGAGGGTGTGTGTTCCTGGGGATCCTGTCTGCTGCCTGAGCATCAGTATGAGCTTAAGTGATTAATCAGGAACGTATTCCACTAACAAAGCCTGACTAAATATTGACAAACCATGATTTGTCTTAATACTCCAAATCAGGATTTGGGACCTGTGGTAGATGGAACTTGATTTTAAAGTCCCCAAGCACTTTTATGGCAAATGACTGTCCTCTACAGAGGAAACAAATCCTATTGAGACATTGGGAATGAACTGGATTTACAGTATGCATGTAACAGACACCACATCTTACGGACTGTGTTGCCCTATCATGACCTAGGTCTTACGTTGGTTTTCAAGCTATCCCTGTGGATGGAATGTATGTCATTTATTCTAGGTGTTAAGAACATAGCTCATGATTTGCTTGTAGATTTGTATGAGAGGAAATTTTATTATTTGTAAGTTAATAATTTCTTTTTCATGTACTAGGATGTTAAAAATACTCAACTGTTTAGATCTGTCTTATTTTAAGAGAGTCTTCAATAAATAACTAACCTTCAATTTAACTTGTTTTCTAAGTCCAGATTTTCTCATGCTTTATTGACTTAGATGATGGTCAAATATATGGTTTAGAATATTTTTGCTTCTGTAAAACAGAAAGCTTAGATCATGATAGCGTGTGAAGTAGTTATCAATATGATTCCTTTTCATAATCAAAATTAATGAAGATTTCTTTCCATGAATTCTCTTTTCCATGGGTGGCTCTTTGATTTTTTTTGTAGGAAACCAGTAGTATAGTCTTACAAATTAGATAGTATTTTCATTATGTATCTTGAATATATTATTCTACAAGTCTTTTCTTTACACTGTTTAAAAAACAGGAAACGAATAAAGTCATTTCTCTGTAAGGGTGAAATAATAAAGCCTAAAGAAGCTAACGAACATTTCTAAAGAACAAAAAACTATAGTGGAAAACCACCTGTTTTTCTTTTAATTGATTCCAGTGAAATTATTTTGAAATTGAAACTATTTTGTTATTATTGAGAAAATCTGTATGAAAAATTCCAAAAATTGACTATAAATCTGTTTTGAGAGAAAAATGGTAGAATCTGTTTTGGCAACAGAAAAATAATAGTACTCTTTAAAATATCCCTAGAAATGTATACATATCTTAGACATTAGTATCCTTCTGAAAATGATTAGTAACTGTTTACATCTTTGCATTTGTTGCTCTAAATGTCTTCTTACATATATAGTAGATTTCTTTCTCACGCCTTCCTGCAGTTCTGATGGAATATAGATTGCTCTATAAAATTGTAATGTGTTTAAGAAAAGTAGATTAAACCTGAAATTTCAGCCTGGTTGGTGTTTTGGAAAGGGCATAGCCTTTTCTCAGAGCAGGCTCATCTTGGTATCACTGTTCTTTAAAAAATGCGACTCTTTAAGGTGGGTTTTTATCTGCGCCCTGGTGCTAGGGATCGACTCAGTGCTTATCTCCTGTCAGTATTTATTGTATTACCCAATATACCCTTCCTCACCTAGTTTAAACTAGGCGTAATCCGCTATTCTCATCAGTATCTTGTATTCTCATCTGTATTTGGGTAAATACAGTGGATAAATATGTGAAGTATATAGACCACAGTAGGTCCTTCATAAGAATTAAATCAAACATTTTAAATACCCAGTCTTAGACTCATGCTTTTCATACAGAAAACTGTCTTTGTACAGTTTGCTTTTTGTTTGTTTGTTTGTTTGGGTTTTTGTTTTTGTTTTTTTTTCCAAACTGGGTTTCTTGAAACCCTGTGTAGCTTTGGTGCCTGTCCTAGAACTAGCTCCTGTAGACCACACCTCGAACTCACAGAGAGAACCACCTGCCTCTGCCTCCTCCCCAGTGCTGGGATTAAAGGGGTGCTCCACCACCGCCCAGCCACAGTTTGCTTTCTGAGAACTCCTTTAATTAAAAGATCTAGCACAGCCTATACCATGTACAGTGTTGGATTTATGGGATAGTCTCCTTGGGACTAACATAATACATCTTTTAAAACTAATTCCAAAGGCCTGCTCATTGACATTAGACCAAGGGTCTGTTTTTTCCTGGGTCCAGAAGCACAAAGATTCCTACACTCCACTTGAGATGAAAGCATTCAGAACCACAGTTTCTTCACATAGGTTGAGTACTAAGACATGAGTGGATGCATTGCAACATTGTAAAGCAGAAGGAGATCTGGTGCTTTGGCCATGTTCAGTTTCATTTTAAATTTAAGTTTCAATTTTCTTTCTCAGTTGAATCTTTCAAGTTTTGAATTCAAAACAGTAAAGTTAACTGTACTGGAGACTTGTATATGCTTTTCAGAAAAAAAGAATTTTCAAATGCTCGCCAGTTAAATAAGGTTTCAAATCAAAACAGTTTCCTTTATAATGAAAATGAAGAAACTGCTAATTTTCAACATGTGGTTTATTGTTTTATTTACCAACAAGAATATTAGCATGGAAAACTAATCATAAAAATTAGGGAAGTACATTCCCAAATGTTGTACGTACTTGTTTTTCATATACACATCACACTAATACAATAGTTTTATAAGGCAAGGAAATTAGAGATGAGTTTAATCTCTCACTGTATGTACTTTGTAGTACTTTTAAAATTGTCTATACTCAAACTGTTGATTGAAATTAAAAAAGCGAAAATTGGTAAAGATTATTTTAACAGTACCAATGTAGTTCTTATACACATCTATGACTGGTTATAAAACATCATAATGCAGAGTAGAGGAGTTACCTTACTTCCCTTAAAGGACTTGGTCAAGCATCCTGGCTTCTCCTTTCTGCAGTAATTTTTTAGCCAACTATTTATCCTGCCTTTTGTCCCTCCCTCCTACCCTACTTTCCTATCCTGTCCTGTATGCACTCTGTATGTCTTTGCTGACCTTTGACTTGGAGTCTTTTCCTATCTCAGCCACAGACCTTTATTTTATTACCTGTATTCCACCTTGCTTTTCTTTTTTGTTTCCTTATTTTTGAAACAGGGTCTCATTGTATCTCTCGCTGACCTGGAACTCATAGTGTAGACCAGACAGGCTGATTTGAAACAGAGATCCACTTGCCTATGCCTCTTTAGAGCTGGGAATAAAGAGGTACACTAGCGCTGGTATACCGTAAAGAATTGAGATTCTGCTTAAAAACTTAGGATAAAACATGCACAGTCACAGTAATGAGAAATGTAGGTTTCCTGGTGCTTCTGGCTGACTGACACCAACTGTCAAAGAATTTCAGGCATCAAGGGTAGGCCCTGGTAAGAGATATTTTAAGACAGTGCACCAGGCGACAGTGACAGTTGCTTGCTATGTATAAAGGACAGCCTGTTCACAGGCACTGTCTCCTAAGTTTGGGATTTCATGTGGTTCAGGGTGAGTACATTTTAAATTACTAATAAAAAGTTTTTAAAATGTTACTACAAAACATAACTAGGAATGTATTGGTGTAATTTTACTATAAAGATAATTAATTAATAAAAATAAACGATCTCTCTTCTTTTATGTGAAGATGCCATCTGTGTGGTGCTTAAAGGTTCATATGTCCTACTTCTTTACCCCACTGATTCTGAGAAGATAGAAAATTTTCCACTATTAGCTATGGTATGGAATGTTTGTTATTTTCTGGTACTAGAAGATTTCAAGAAGTAAGCTCTTAGTTCTCTATATTTCAGAACTTATCATCTATATAAAATTTAACTCTAAGTGGCCTGGCTTATTGATATACTTTAAGGACATTTCTGTAGTGTTCTCTTTTAACTTGTTTGCGCATCCGGCTGCCGTTTACTGTTGTCTTTAACTTCCAGGGTATGGAAAAACCATCAAGCTACTACTTTATGTATAAAAGACAACCATGTCTGTTTTACCGTGTTGATGTATATATTGTCCCATGTAGTCAGATATATTGAATGTCATGATACCTTTTTTACATGCAATATGATATTCAGAAATACTGCCTTTGTTTCAGCTTGGTAACATAATTACAAAAGGCAATTAAATTAGTCTTGGTGTTCTTAAAACTGATAGTTGTATGCATGTCCAGGATTTACATCTCTGTGGAAGTTAACGAATACTCCTCCTGTTCTTCTGGTGAACTTGTGAATAAATGTCTTGCATTCTGATGTGGTTTAAGACATGTATGTGTTCATACTGTTTGAACCAGGATATTCTGTTTTATCACTTATGTCTCTTCCTCTTTTATATGAATAGTTTCAATTTCTTAGAAAGCATTTTCAAGTAAGGAAATTGCTCTAAAAAATGCTTTTGTGATTTCTGCTGTTGTATACAATTGGTCCTAATTTCATCTTATCATGAGACATTGTTTTAGCAGAAAATGCTGCTTAATATGGTTATTGCCTTCAAAATATATATTACAATGATAGGTTTAAGATGAAAACTGTGTTGTATATATTTATTTAAATAAGTTCAAATAATTTAACAATTTATACCTCAAAACAAAATATATTAAAATATCACTTCAGAATTTAAAGTAACAATTATTCAAATTTAAAGTAACAATTATTGACATAAAACGAACAGTATGGAATTTCTTACAGAACATGTAATTTTCATAAAGTAAAATACAATCCTTAGAGGCAATTCATTGGTTATAGTGTTACAGCATTTTTTTTAACTTCATTTTCATGGGGATTGATCCCAGTGTTCTCTTCACGACAATCATGTGCTCCACTACCAAGTTTCACCCGCTCCCTACTCAGTTGATAGCTGTTTTTAGTATATATTCATATTAGCATCATGTATTCCATAGTAAGACTGCGAGTTTTAAGAAATACTCTGATCCCTCTCCTTTTCATAATATTTCTTGAAATGACCTCCTAACTAATTTTGAAAACTCTTCAATACATAAGTAAAAGTACAATTTTGAAACCATTGAATTGGCTTCTTCTCATAACTGACTTTTGAGACCTATAAAAACACTGATTAAAAACCAAGACAATAATTAGAGATACGTTGAATTTTACTTAGTTATTTCTAAAAAGACATCATTTTCTAAACAAAATTATTAAAAAGTTTTTTTTAAATAATTCCTTTGAGTTAGTGAAAGAAGCTTTCTCCCCTAGTTATAGGCATATGCTGTATAATACAAATAAATGTGTCTTTACTGTGTGCCTTTAGATGTTTTTGGACTCAAACGATGATTTTTACTTGCAGTACAGCATAGTCTTTCTATATTTGTCTATATTGCCAGTCTGTATTATTAGGTGTTGCCACTGAAGAGCTAACTATATTAACCTTAAAAATGGTTTTTAAAATGTACAGCACAAAGATCCTTTTGGGGGGACCTACTTGTATCTTTTATAGATTTGATAGTATTTTATAGATCTCTTTTATTCATGAGATGCAATATACATTAGTGTACATTTTATAACTGTGTCCTTGCCAGACCACAGCTCTGTACCTAAACATTAAAGCATTTGTTTCATTTGAAAGAACATACTTTGTGTTTTTTATCTGAGTTTCAGTTCGTTACAGGGCTGATACTGTATACTTGTTGCCTCTTTTGGAATCAGTTAGCAAATACTGAAGACAGATTTATTGAGGTCATGATATCAGCTTCTTGATACAATGAGTAAAAATTGTGTTGAGAGAGATAGCAGCTCTGCTGTGCTCTTTATGACCTGGGAATGGATCTGCCTCTTTAGTGCAGGACGCAGTCGGCTCCTTGAGATATGTCAGGAAGCATTAATGTGAGCTGTCTTCACAGGTGTACAGATGTGCTGAGAAAAGCCTCGCATTTGCATCTCTCAAGGAGCTCCTCCTTCTATGAGTAGAAGAAGGAGCTACAATTGCTTTCCCCTACCTAACTTTTTTTCTCTTAGTAGCTTTAAGTGTGAAAAGAGAAGGGTCTCTCCCGATCTGTGTGATGCTTTAAATGTAAATGGTTTGTAATGAAACTCGGTCTTCCTCCAGAATGACTTGGAGGGAAGAGGAAGTGTGTGTGAGTGTTGTGTGTGTGTACAGTTGTCCAGAGGTGTTACAAAGTTTTGATTCCAGGACTCCCCTTTAGGTCTGACCATCTAAATCACATATTCTCTTCCATACCTTAAATCATCTCTCAGAACTTAAAACCCCTAATCTAGTGTATTCTGTGTCCTTTATTGTAATTGTGGAATAATGCTGAGAAGAAAAAAAAACTTTCCATGTTGGTTCAAATTCAAGGATTTTTCCCCCAGATAGTTTACATTTATATCTCGCTGGCATAGATCTCATAAAGCCTTATTTTAGTTCTTGAAAATAAAATTTCTGTACTACTTTATTCACTTAATCCTGTGTTCAAATACCTATATTTCTAAAGGATCGTTTTGTTTTGACTAGGTTTCTGGAGTTGTCTTTTTTTTTCTTTGTCTTTTATTTATTTTTGTGATGTATATTGATTGAATGCAGGGTTCCATCTGTACTAAGTGTACACATTATGCCCAACGCTTAAAGATTACTGTGATTTTTTTTTTTCTGAGAGGCCATTGTCTGAATGTTGGGAATAGCAACTGCTATTGCTCTGCCTGGGGTATTAGATCCTAATCCACTTGTCTCTACTGTCATCGGAGCATAACAGAATTTTCTCAGATAATGTCTATAGTATTAACTTCATTTGAACAAACTATATTTGAATTAGAAAAAAATCTATGTATTAGGTAACACCTTAAAGACAAAGTATTTTGTGAACTATATTTGTATGAGTTGAAGTCCCATGAAAATAAAGTTAGATTAAAACCATGTAGTTTTTTGTTTACCTTGTGATAAAATCAACACCAGAGATATATTGTGATATAATTAATACACACTTTTACTGGGGAGTGAGAAGAGAGGAAGTAATTTAAAAAATGTAAGTTGTAAACAGAAGTTGAATGCATTGTACCCGTCTCTGCAATTATTTAATATGAATGTTGTGGAAATATGAATGCTGTCATAACTTTGGTAACCTATAATTTTGCCCATTTTTTGAAAACCACATGCAGCTGATAGCTTGATTTTCACAAGTGTACTTGTTTGAAAAGCTTTCACAAAAACTCATGCTAAAAACAGACATATGGTCATATTTATCTGGGCCCCTTTCATTTTGTGAAGAATCATATTCAACAGTGTGTTTTAATGGCAAGTAGTACAGTACTATAGGCTTTCAATATCCAAACACAACAAAAGTTCCCTTTAAGTTTTGAGAAAAAAATTTGAAACTGGCGTTTATTGTAGTGACTAAATTTAACATCATTGCTTACATTTAAGCTTTACATGTTTAATTCATAACATGTTTCATGGTGTTAGTATTCATAATTAAGAAAAAATAAGTCACCCTTCTGCATAGTGTTTAACACCTGCTCTCTTCTGTATGTGTGTGTGTTAGATGGAAGATGGTACCACAAAGCATGTCATCCAGATGACAGGATTCAAGATGGAAGAAAAGGAAGCGCTAGTCAAATTACTTTTAAAGCTAGACTGCACTTTTATTAAGAGTGAGGTGAGTATAGAAACATACTAAAATATTCAATATAGAGTTCAAAACATAGAATTAAAAAATAAAATAAAAATGTCCTTTGACATTATAAAAGTAAAAATTTTTATTATTAAGAAAAGCTCACTGTAGTAATATTGCTTTGTGTGGGTTCTTCCCTCCAGAAATATAAAAATTGTACACATCTTATAGCTGAGCGCCTATGCAAGAGTGAGAAATTTTTAGCAGCTTGTGCAGCAGGCAAGTAAACTTCCTTTCTCCAACTCTTGAAAGAAATTTCATGTTAACAGAAAAACCCCAAGTCTCTGGAAATATATTATGTTTACTATGTCAGATATACATGTGCTGTTTGGATTTTTTTAAAAGATATTTGTTTGAATATTGCTTTATTCTAATTAAAGTTTTCTGACACGTGAAATATATATTAAATGGGAAGAAATATTTACTTTGTCACAGATTTAGTTTAAATGTTTTGTTTAAGAAAAAATGTGTGTCTTAACAAAAAGACTGGACCAAATGTGCATACTAAAACTTTAGTGGAAACCTCAGTGCTGCAGTCTCCCTTGTTTTCCGCCCTCTCATAAGTAAGCATGCCTCCTTCTCTCAAGCTGCTCCTCTGCTCTGCTGGGAAGCAGAACCATCCTACTTTGTTCTTCCTAGATAGTCAATTCTGTTTACCCACGCTGAGATTTGGCCTTCTCTCCTTACCTTTTTTTCCACCACTGATACACAAGCAGATTTTTCTATGGTGTCTGATTTTATTGTTTCTTAGTAAGTCATGGATGCCACATCATTTTTTACATTCATTTGCCAGAGAAGCATTTAGATTTATCACTACTTTTAGAAACAAACCTCTATATTATTCCTGCTGTTTAAATGACAACTGGTGCCCACAGAGGAAGCAGAATATGACATTTCCTATAAAATTCAGTAACATAATGAATTTAATACAACAATACTGTGAATGTTATTTAAAAAGTTTAGCATAGTAGGAAATAAACCTAACCCAGAAAAATGAATGCAGTTAGTAATAATAGTTCACGTAATATTGCCTTTTACTTTAAAACTTTAGATTTATATTTCATTTAATGGCATTTAGAATTATGGGTGTGTATCATAGAAATATTATGTACAATGTTCAGTGATATTGAAGGCCTCTTGAAATTTGTTTTTAAAAACAATATTGTCAGTGTATCATGAGAATCTCATGTATAAAAAAGATAACTCTTAGTTGCTATTTAATCTTTATTGTTTACCATTTAGCAGAACTAAAATTTTTTGTGACAGTTCATTTGCTTTCTAGGAAAATGGGTATTAACGAAGGACTACATAATTCATAGTGCCAAAAGTGGCAGATGGCTTGATGAAACAACTTATGAATGGGGATATAAAATTGAGAAAGACTCGCATTATTCACCTCAAATGCAATCTGCACCTAAAAGATGGCGTGAAGAGCTGAAACGGACTGGGGCTCCAGGAGCCTTCCACAGATGGAAAGTTGTCCTCCTCGTGAGGGCAGATAAGCGAAGTGAGTCTCTTGTAAGGTACGATGGGGTTTTATACATTTGAAGCCGTGAATGAGGTCATGTTTTTATGAATACCTTTTAATATTTATGTTCAGTTGTTAGTCAGAATGAGGTATGATATACTTTTTACAACTGGGACATTTATTTTTGCTTCCTCTTTTTGAGAACATGCATGAACACCGCATCTAGATCACTCCCACCTCCCATCCTCCACCCAACTCCTCCTGTGCCCCTCCCATTTTTAATGATCACTCTTTCATTGTTACATGTACAGACACACACACACACACACACACACACCTATGTATATAACCCACTAAGTCCATTAAGCATTCCTCATATGTCATATGTCTAGGGCTTTATCCCTCAAATGAGGCATTGTGTACAAATGTATAAGTTTCCTAATAGAACAAATTTGGTTTTATAGATGGACTTTGATTATTCTGGTGGTCTCCATTTTAGATTCCATGTTATTTCTTTTGTTTAACGCAAGAAAAACAGAAAAAACAAAAAGAAGGTAATACTCAAGAATTTTGAAGCATTCTTACACTTTTGCTAGTTTATGTTCAGGGAGTCTTACATGGGCATGGTATTTATATAATACTGTCTTTGTGCCTCATGCTATTTCCATTATGATTTCTTTATTTCCCTTTTGTTTTTTGTTTGTTTTTTTTCCAAGGCAGGGTTTCTCCGTGTAGCTCTCACTGTCCTAGAGCTTACTCTGTAGACCAGGCTGCAGATCTGCCTGCCTCTGAGTGCTGACATTAATGCCATGCACCCCCATGCCACCTCATTTTGTCTTTTTAAATACAAGGAATTTTTGTTCAGAGTAAGTGTACCTGTGTGCCCATGCATGCATTTGCAGATGAAAGCGTCCTGATCTTTTCTCCTTATTCTTCCCCTTAGTTTTTGAGACAGGCAGGATCTCTCACTGAACCCAGGGCTTCTGATATGGCTAGGCTCGCTGGCTGACTGAACAAGCACTTGGAATCCTCTTGTCTGTTTTCTGATGCCAGAGTTATAGGTGTACACCACTATACCTGGGTGTTGACATGAGTGCTAAAGATCCAAACTCATCTTCACATGCTGTAGAACAGCATTACCCACTGAGCCATCTCCCCATCCCTTTCAGGGGACTTCTCATTGGCTAAAGTATGTTTTGAAAACTGGTTTTGCTTTTTGTTATTGTTTTTTTTTCCACTTAGAATCTCTTAGGTTTTTTTTTTCTTTATTGGATTATTTTTTAAAATTGCCAATCCAAGTTCCCATTTTCTCCCCTCTTCCCATTTCCTCCACACACCCTCCCAACCCACCCCATCTAATCCTCAGAGAGGGTAAGGCACATTGCCTTGTGTTAGGTCCAAGGCCCTCCCTCCTACATCTAGGCTGAGCAAGGTATCCATCCAAAGAGAATAGGATCCCCAAAAGCCAGTACATGCAGTAGGGATAAATCCTGGTGCCACTGTCCATGACCCCTCAGTCTGGGCCAGCCATGCAACTGTCAACCCCATTCAGAGGAACTAGTTTGGTCCTATGCTTGTTCCTTCACAGTCCAGTTGGACTTGGTGAGCTCCCATTAGCTCATGCAAACTGTTTCAGAGGGTGAACCATAGTCTTGACTTCCTTGCTCATATTCCTACTTCAACTGGACTTTGGGAGCTCAGTCTAGTGCGCCGATGTGGGTCTCTACTTCTGCCTCCATCGGTAGCTGGATGAAGGCTCTCTGGTGATATTTAAGATATTCATCATTCTGGCTACAGGGCAAGTCAAGTCAAGATCAGTCCCACTCTCCTCTACTGCCCAGAGTCCCAGGTGGGAATTTCTGTAGAGCCATATTTCTGCTAATCCTGTAATGGCTCCCTCAATCAAGATATAAGATATCTCTATCCTTGCTCTCATCTCTGTCCTTCCTCCATCTTGACCATCCCTCAAGTTCTCCTCTCTGCTCCCCTCCCCCTCTTTCCTCTTCTTCCCCCACCCCCATGCTTCCAACCCTGCCAGTCAATCCTGTCTATTTCCAATTTCCAAATGGTTCTTTATATATTTTTCTTTGGGTTCATCTTATTACTTAGCTTCTCTAGGATTATGAACTATAGGCTCAATGTCCTTTGTTTATGGCTAGAATCCACTAATGTGTGAGTACATACAATATTCATTTTTGGGGTCTGGGTTATCTCACTCAGTATATTGTTTTCTACTTCCATCCATTTGCATTCAAATTCAAGATGTCATTATTTTTTTCCTGTTGAATAGTACTCTAATGTGCACATGTGCCACATTTTTTTAAAACTATTCTTTGGTTGAGGAGTATCTAGGTTGTTTCCAGGTTCTGGCTATTACAAGTAAGGCTGCTATAAATATAGTTGAACAAATGCTTTTGTAGTATGTTTGAACATCTTTTGAGTATATGCCCAAGAGTGGTATTGCTGGATCCTGAGGTAAGTTTAGTCCCAATTTTCTGAGAAACTGCCATGCTGATTTCTAAAGTGGTTGTACCAGTTAGCATTCCCACCAGCAATGAATAAGTGTTCTCCTTATTCCACATCCTCTCCAACATAAGCTGTCATTAGTGTTTTTGATCTTAGCCATTCTGATGGGTATAAGGTAGTATCTCAGAGTTGTTTTGATTTGCATTTCCCTGATAGCTAAGGATGTTGAGCATTTCCTTAAGTATCTTTTGGTCATTTGAGAGTCTTCTGTTGAGAATTCTCTGTTTAGTTCAGTACCCCATTTTTTAATTTGGTTATTTAGAATTTTAATGTCTAATTTCTCGAGTTCTTTATATATTTTGGACATCAGTCCTTTGTCTGATGTGGGGTTGGTGAAGATCTTTTCCCATTCAGTAACTGCCTTTTTGTCTTATTGACTGTGTCCTTTGCTTTACAGAAGCTTCTAAGTTTCAGGAGGTCCCATTAATTTATTGTTGCTTTCAGTGTCTGTGCTACTGGAGTTATATTTAGGAAATGGTCTCCTTTGCCCATGCATTGAAGACTACTTCCCACTTTGTCTTCTATCAGTTTCAGTGTGGTCAGATTTATATTGAGGTCTTTAGTCCATTTGGACTTAGTTTTGTGCATGGCCATAGATATGGATCTATTTTAATTCTTCTACATGTTGACATCCAGTTATGCCAGCACCATTTCCTGAAGATGCTTTTTTTTCTAATTCTATATTTTTAGCTTTTTTGTCAAAAATCAGGTGTTCATAGGTGTGAGGATTAATATCCGGGTCTTAGATTCTATTCTTTTGGTCAACCGCTCTGTTTTTATGCCAATACCAAACTGTTTTCATTACTGTAGCTTTGTAATAGAGCTTGTTATCAGAGATGGTAATCCCTCCAGAAGTTCCTTTATAGTACAGGATTGTTTTGGCTATCCTGTGTCTTTTTGTTTTTCCATATGAAGTTGATTATTGTTCTCTCAACATCTGTGAAGAATTAATTGTGTTGGGATTTTGATGGGGATTGCATTGAATCTATAGATTGCTTTTGGTAGGATTGCCATTTTTATTGTGTTGATCCTACCTATCCAAGAACATGGGAGATCTTTCCATTTTCTGGTATCTTCTTCAGTTTCTTTCTTCAAAGACTTAAAGTTCTTGTTAAATAGGTCTTTCACTTCTTTTGTTAGTGTTACCCCAAGATATTTTATGTTATTTGTGGCTAATGTGAAAGGTGATGTTTCTCTGATTTCCCTCTCAGCTTCTTTATCATTTGTGGATAGGAGGGCTGCTGATTTTTTTGAGTTGATCTTGTATTTTGCCACATCACTGAAGGTATTTATCTGCTGTATGAGTTCTCTGATAGAGTTTTGGGGGTCACTTATATTTACTATCATATCATCTGCAAATAATGAAAGTTTTACTTCTTTTCCAATTTTAATCTACTTGATCTCCTTCTGTTGTCTTATTGGTATTGCTGAAACTTCAAGCTCTATATTGAAGAAGTATGAAGAGAGTGGACACCCTTCTCTTGTTTCTGATTTTAGTGGAATCGCTTTGAGGTTCTCTGCATTTAATTTTATGCTGACTGTTGGCTTGCTGTATATTGCTTTTATTATATTTAGATATCTATGTTCCTTGTATCCCTGATCTCTCCAAAACATTTATTACGAAGGGTGTTATATTTTGTCAAATGCTTTTTCAACATCTAATGAAATGATCATATGTGTTTTTCTTTCAGTTTATTTATATGATGGATTACATTGATAAATTTTTGTATGTTGAACCAGCCCTGCATCTCTGGGATGAAGCTGACTTGATCATAGTGGATTTTTTTTTTTAAATGTGTTCTTGGATTCGGTTTGCCAGTATTTTTTTGAGTATTTTTGCATCCGTGTCCCTGAGTGTGACTGGTTTTTAATTCTCGGTTGAGTCTTTGTGTGGTTTTGGTATCAGGGTAACAGTAGCCTCATAAAAAGATTTTGGCAATGTTCCTTCTGTTCTGTTCCTATTATGTGGTACACTTTGAGGAGTATAGGTATTACCTCTTTTTGGAAGTTCTGCTAAAATTCTGTAATGAAACCATCCAGCCCTGGGCTGGGCTTTCTTTTTTTTTTTTTTGTTTTTTGTTTTGTTTTGTTTTGTTTTTGGTTGGGAGGCTTTTGATGACAGCTTCTATTTCATTGCAGTTTATAGGTCTATTTAGATTAATACCTAATCTTGATTTAATTTGGGTGTTTGGTATCTATCTAAAAAATTGTCTATTTCTTTTACGTTTTTCAATTTTGTGGAGTACAGGATTTTGTAGTATGATCTAATGATTCTCTGAATTTCCTCAATGTCTGTTGTTATATCCCCCTTTTTATTTCTGATTTTGTTAATTTGAATGTTCCCTCTCTGCCTTTTGATTAGTGTAGAAAAGGGTTTGTCTATCTTACTGATTTTTTTCAAAGAACCAGCTATTTGTTTCGTTGGTTCTTTGTATTATTTTGTTTCTATTTTGTTGATTTCAGCCCTCAATTTGATTATTTTCTGTCTTCTACTCCTCCTGATTCTTGCTTATTTTTGTTCTAGAGCTT